TTGTTAGGTCGGTATATACAGCCTATTAATATTTTACTCTTATCTGGTGCATTCTTAATTCGAAGGAAAATGTACTCCATTGGACTATCAGGGGGGCTTTGGCAATGTACAGACACATTAAGTTTTTTGTTTACATATATTGCAACACCTCCACCACGACTAGGACGATCCACTCGAAACACATTATAACCATCACAATCTATTAATACGCTACATAGATTAGGTAAAAACCATGTCTCAGACACACATATAATATCGACATTAGAGTTAACAAACATAAATCTAAATTCATCAATTTTTCTTTTAAGCTTTGTGCATTTATATGGCATACGTGTAGGCCAGGCTTTCGACTAGCAAGTATACGAACTAAAGTTTCACTGTTCGCATTGGACTTTGCGTTAGCTAGTGTCATATTGGGTAGTTATAAGTCCTATTATGTAATTGTCAATATACAGCATAATGAAAATTTTAAGATGATAATATAAGCTTAATAAAATAGAGAAAGAGTTAACATGGGTGTGATTGAGAAAAATAAGAAGGGAGAAGTTGTGTTCATTTATTAAAGGAAAGTGATTAGTATTAAGAGCGAAAAGAGTGGTTATTAGTTTGGAGTGGGGAAACTTCGGCTTGTCTGTTATTAATTATGGGCTCTCTTTTCTTCCAAGCTAAAAGCTCTTGGTAGCTTTCGATTGCAACAATCTCACTGTTCTCCCGTTCTTTTATGTGCACCGCTCCCCTCCGCGCAAAAACTGCAACAAGCTGCTTACTCTTTTTCATGCGCATGGCCTCTTTGAAAGCCTCGTACGCACTTTTCGGAAGCTGCTCATTAATGTAAACAACTGCAGGGGAGTCAATGCCAAAGTGCTTCAGAGTCAGCTGCTGCTTCGTCTCTCTTCGGTAGGCCGCCGTTGCTCTTAGTATAGCTGCCTTGTCTCCCACACGCTCCAGTTTGACCATGATCGCTGTGTCGACCACAGTGGCTGTCGCGCTTCTCCGTGCTGTTCGGTATATTTCCTTAATTGCGGGCGCGGGTGTAATGTGTAAGTTGAAGCACATGGTGTTAAACAAATGTTTCAACTTTTCGCCTTCCACCATCGGCACACCATGGATTCTCAGCGAGCTGGCCACGTTTGCCTTTTCCTGGGCCACAAACTTGGACTCCAAAACTCCCAGCTTCTGCCTAATTTTATCTAAATCAGCAGCCTCTCGCTCCAGGCACTGCACACGCTGCGCCAATTGTGGGACCTGGCCAGCCAGACCTCCCAGGCGTTCCTCCAGCAGATGCAGAAAGCGCTCCTCAGCCTCCTGCATTTTAGAGGAGATAAGAGTGGCCTGCTCTGCAAACCGCTGGTCAATAAGCTGGATCAATTGGGGCGACGGAGCATCCGACGATCTCATTCCACCCAGATCAGTCGCAGTGTTTTCACGCTGACGCTTGGTAACAGGTGGCATTTTGTTACGTGGTTTTTACGTTTGAGTGACTTTCCTGTGCTTGAGTGATTTGAGTGATTTGTTTCGCGTTCTGTTTCGAGTGATTCCGCTTAGTTTCGATTGGGTCTTGTGCTGTTGTTTTTCCAAATTCTGTTTTCGACAACAATTTTGACGCGCCAAATATAATTTAGAAGTTTGTACTGATATTTATTTGTTATTTGACCAGATTGTATTTTGCGGTCTAAGTTCGTTATCTGATCTTGTGTTTAACGCACTTTTGCGAGATAAAAATCGTCTATTTTCGTAGTTTTTTGGTTACTCGACGGAGCGATTCAAATACACGTCTGCTAGGCTTGATTGCTAATACATATTAACTTATCGTGAAGATGGGTTAAATGACGAAGTTAACTAATGGCATGCACACATTGTTTTTACATTGGAGACTTTTTTGCGAGTTTCAAAATTATTCACGGGGCAAGGGGCCGCATTGCAACCATTTATATTCAGGCTCCATACAAAAACAATATTTTGCAACCATTTCGTAAATATTGATTTTTTTGAAAAATATGTAAAGAATGAATACTCTACTATTAACATATAAATGGCGACTTGGCACCTGGCTCTATAGATTTTGTACCAGATGTTGTTTATCTTCTATTCCTTGATCGGAGTGTTCCGTAATGACCGAAACCCGATTAAATTATTTGTAAGAGCTTCTGCATTACAGTTATCGTAATCTTCTTTCTTCATAATTTCTTTGTATTCTTCCTTTCCATCATCGCCTTTTAAAAGAATGTTTCTCAAAACATTGCAAATTTCGACAAGATCGAGTTTTGACAAATTATTTCTTTTTCTTTGCTAAACAGTTAATCTATCAGGCCGATTGTTCTCGCGTTCTACAAACTTTCCATTTGTTTGTTCTGTCATGTCCTGCTTTTCGCGCGGTGGAGTTGCCGGCTAGTCAGCGCGATTCCAGGGGGGGAACAACCACAAATATATTCACGCAGCACACACAACAAAAAAAAACAAAACGGAATTTTCAAACTTGGACAACAAATTTATACACAACGGAATTTTGAACATTTGGACTGGACTAAGCGGCTGGAGTTGTAGTCCTGGGAGTCCCTCCCAACCATTGAGTGCATCCCAGGATATGCCTCGGATACATCTCCCAACTTTGTTTGGTGGATTGGGCTCGCCTACATTATCTCATCCCCCCAACAGGAATATCTATTCAGAGGAATTCATATTTTTCAAAAATAATTTCTCTTAATTTCTAACATTTAATTAGCCTACCAACGGTACCGATGGGTTTTTTACATGGAACACATACATATATATGTGGTTAAATGTTGATTAAATTAATATTGTATATAAATAAATAAATAAATAATTGAATAAATAGGTTATGTTAATTATCAATTTATTTTTGAGACTTTCGGGAACTAGTACATTTTTAATTTTAATTTTTAATTCGGGGTTGGGTTTTTTTATTACTTAAATCTAATTCATTTTACTAACTAATGAGATAAATAAATAAAAAACCTGGGGCCACCCAGAGCGAGTGGCCGATTTTTCACTACGAAAATTTCGCCCTCGTTCGTGTGGTGCCTCTGTTCCAAGTCGTCTGGAATCCAGTCCTCCAGTTAAGTTTCTATTTTTTTGAATTTCTTTAAACAAAAAAAAAAATTTGGTTTTTTCAGTATCCTCTCCTTTTTTTTTATAATTTTTTCTTTTGTATAACTCACTTATGTAAATAAATTATATAATTTGTTTCTGCACTTTCGATTTAACCTCCTTTGTACTTTTCTGATCCTCTCTTCACTCTTCACCAAAAACCACTCAAAATTTTCAAACCTCGACTTTGGTTCATTTGGGAGTTAGTACATTCGGGGAACCAGTTCCTGGGGCTTAGTCATTTCAAGTACTTCCTTTACTCACGCACAATCGATAACCTGCAGTCGGCGGAGAGTTGGTAAACATATATTGTTTACATTTTTTTTTTGTTTTAATTGTCTTGTTCGCCGCACATAACAGTTCGCACATAACAGTTCTCAAGGCTATCTGAGCCTTGGGGCGCCAGATATTTTACAGGGCATGACCAACATCATCACGTTAATTTAGAAAGTTACAATAAAGCAAATTGTTTGCGATAATAAAAGTCTCTGCATTTTAAGAAAAGGTTAAAAGCGATAACAACGAAGAAAGGGTTTAATTCCAATGAAGAGCTGAACCAGAGTGATAATGAATTTTATTCTTTTTTATTTTGACTCAGCATTGCAACTTATAATCATAATAGTAACTATCGTAAATTACACTGTGCGACAAAATTTAACGAAATGTTTGTTTGAGTTACTTTTTTGATTGTTTTCGGTTAAGGGGCATAAGTTATGCACAAAAATATTTATGCCAGGATTTCTTTTTTTATGATAAATTTTATGAAATTATTATTATGAAAATATTTAACTCAAATTATTATTTTTTTTTTACTTCCAATAAACTATTATTTTTTTTAAAAGTTAAATTTTTTTCTGATTTTTTTGGCTTTTTCAGAGGTATCCTCGCGTAACAAGTTCCATACGAAGTCGCCCAGGGTATAGAGCTGGGAGAAAAAAATTTTAAAGCATTGTTATAAAAGCCTAACGGTATATTTGCTTAATATATTTTAAGTAATAGATATTGAACTTGCATAAAACGCTTATAACGGTGAAAAAATATTTTCCCAATATGGTATAAGGCTGTGAAATATGCAAAAACACGCGTTTTTGGGACCTTTGAGTGTGCGTAGAAGCTGATTGGCTATTGATATTAACAAATCCAAAAACTTGTATTCTTATTTTGATTAGTAGAAGTGAAAAATAAGAAAAAATCAACTGAAACATTTTTTTGTCGCACAGTGTTATTTATCTTACTAATAAATTTCATTTACCTTATTAGCTCGCAAATGGATAGGAAGTATTATCAAGAAACAAGTCTCGTTATGTAAGTCTTACATCAAGGTCGAGTGAAGCCTTGTCCTATCGACAAATCGAAATATATCAATAACACAAAAAGGACAGCTCATAATACTTATTTAAGGCAGGTTCTTACCTTGTGTCGAAAAAAATCGATTTTTTTTTTTGTCCTTTCGGATAGATATATGTTTTAAGAATGTGCTCAAAAAATTTCAGATCAAAATTTTTAAAATTACAAGAGTTAAGGCCTTTACATGGAGCACATGTCAAGGTTCAAATATAGTTAAAAATTTCAGCTTTTTATCTTTAACCGTTTTCTCAAAACAGTTTTTTTAAAAAAGTGCAATTTTTCGGCCCTACAAGGTAAGAACCTGCCTTAAGTTCTTACTTAAAATTCTGAAATCGAACGGAAGTACGACTTCGCTTATTCCTTGTTCAAAAGAGCAGAAAAGCTTTATTGAGATAGTAGCAAACACTACCATATTTTTTTGTGCATCATCTATTTGTTTTGCTTTTAAAGTAGCAGCTAATAATCTTAATAATATTAAGAAAACCTCTTATTTACTTAAAAATTATTGATATTTATTTGTGCAAAAAGTTCTTTTGATACATTACCTGGGAATTCCACAGAGCGCCACAAAAAGGTTCCAGCTGTGATAAATAAATAGTCCTGATCCGATATGAATTTTTAATGGAATTAGGCACCATGCAATACCTATAAGATAACATTTTTTAGATGACACAAAATGTTAAAAGAAAAATAAAAAATGTGCTGCCAGCCATAATAATAAGGCAGAATTTTAAGTCCTTTAATAGAGAGTTTAATGTAATAATCGGCGACTTCATTTTCCGGGGTGCTTAAATTGAATGAATGACGCAATATGTAGGCTGCTTTTTATATTTCTAGCCTAGTGCTTTTCTAGAAATGTTTTATATGAAAAGTTTGGTATTTTAAGACATCAATTTGGTCAGAACAGTTTAGAGTACTAATAATATTTTGGTTGTTTAAAGTGACTTTTAACTAAAAATACAACGTAAATAGCCGAATCACATTTCACCAAAAGACGCTGCGGTTACACATGGGTACAAGTAGGGGAATGTTGTCAGGGTTGGGCCATATTTTGACCTATGCCCATAAGTACTGAACAAATAACAATATAGAATAAATTTTGAAAAAAAAAAAAAAACGTTGTCAGGGTTGGGCCATGTTGTCAGGCTTGGGCCATCTTCAGAAATTCGTTGACAATATCGTAACGTGGTGGAATAAAATTGAATTCAGGTTAATCTCACATTATTTTGTTCATTTATTTTATTATTCGGGATTTTACAGATAGTGTCGGTTCAAGAAAATGATTCAGAGTTGCAGTTTTGACATATAAAATAACTGTTTCGTATTTTTGCGCACTTCAGATGAACTTCCCTCTTGAATTCAATGAACGTAACAGAGTTGTTGCGATTTGTATACCGTGGCATAGTTTTCAAACATATAGAGCAGAAATCGATGTCTTCATCTTCATCAGCAGAGAGTTTATTTTTGCATTTTCTTTGGGGGACGACCACGTTTCGCTGGTATTTTGGTGCATGCTTTTGGTGCAAAAGTTATTTTTTTGGTTCGTTGTTTTTGTCGAATAAAAGTTAGGAATAATTTCTTTGTCTCAATCAAAATTCACTCTTTTGCATATTTTTGCTACAAAAAACTAAAATGTTACAACAAAATCGAAAATACACGAATAAAATGTAAAAATTATAATGGCCCAATCCTGACTACAAAAGTGGTTCAACCCTGCTGACGAGATGCGTTATTAATCTATTGCGGTATGATAGGTATAACCATTTGCGGGGGGACGGTGGCCCAGCAGGTAGAGCGCTGGCCTCCGGTCCGGAAGGCCCGGGTTCGAGTCGAGTCCCAGGCTCCTCCGAGAAAAAGAAACGGTCTCTTTTTCCAAATCTCCAACACTTCTATTAGTAACAAATTTCCACGTTACTATGGACCCAACAATAGAACTTTCGTCACTCCTAGATGGCGCCAGGTGGCAACCCCACCGCTAGGATAAGTCGCTACTGGCTTATCACCGGTACGATCGAAAATCAATGATAATTGAATCCTCTACAAGAAATTGTAGAGGCTCTAAGCTCCCGGGTGGAGTAAAAGAATGTAAAAAAAAATAACCAAACTATATCTGCCAATGAAAATATATCTCACCTTGCGGATGACAAGTTGTAATTTTAGGTTATGACAACCTTTTTGGCCAGGTTAAAAAAACTTTTCCGAACACTTTTTCTTCACATATCAACGAAACGTAAGAAAAAGTAATCCCGAAATGAGAAGTCACGTGGAAACTTTCTTGTGACCGATAGAAGTTTCTTGACACGCACAAACAGATGGCACTAGTACGAATATTCAAAATATTGAAATGGGCCAAGCCTGACAACAGTCCAACCCTGACAACATTCCCCTACTACATTCCCCTACAAATTACTAAAATAAACAATAATACAGCTGATCATAAACAAAGCCAACGGTTAAGAGCACCAGCTCTGTAACGAAGAGCTATAATGAGCAAGGCTCGGCAATAACAACAAGACGACCGTCGGCTTTCGTCTATTAGAAACAATGCTTACTTCTCCATAAGAGCGGAAGAGTTAGACCATGGTATAATAACTACAAGGTAGTCCCGTCGCCGGCAGAATTGTTCGGGTTTAGTGCCCTATCGCCTCAGTACGCTCGGGTCGTTTGCAGTGAGAGGTTGTCCGCGGACGATTTTTTCTCAAAACGTTAACCCTTGTGTGCTTATGAAAAATACTTGTTGCAATTAGTGCAGCAAGCACATACAATGTGTAACATATAATATTGCACAAAAATATTTTGAAAGGGTAACAATATGGGGGCGAGTCCTAAAGGGCAGCTTTGGGTAAAAATCAAAAATGACGGAACAATTAATACTCATTGTCATATAACAGTCCTTTTTAAACCCTATGCACAGCATAAGGGATAAACCACACACTCTTTTTCTGTTTATTTCGCACTTACAGAAAAACACTCTTTCACTCGCACTCATTGTAGTGCGCAATAGGGGACTGACGCCGGCGACGGGACTACCTTGTAGTTATTATACCATCCCTGCAGTTCTGGCTGTTCACAAGTGAATTTTGGCAATTGCCAATCATGTGTGTAGGAAAGGGAAAGGGATATTCCTAAGTTTCCCTCTCTTCCTCACTCTTATAATACGATTTCGTTGCTTGCACCCGACGGCGGCCCGACTCCAAATTTGTCTTCTATTCTTTCGTTTTTCTAATTGCACTGTTGCCATTCTCCGTTAGAAACAAAAAATTAGTTTTCGATGGAAAATACGGCTGAGGGGCGCTCGACTTATGTATACTCTTCTGATGTTAAAGTTCTTCAAATATAAATATAATATAACATATAATATATATGTCGGGTCATAAATTATGGTAGTCAGTGTATAAGGAATCAAATCAAGTGTAACGATTCTTCTCGCTGCACTCTAACGATTGTTTGTTAGGGCGCTTTAGTCTACCTTTTCGCCAGGTGTTCAGAATAGTTCGGTGTGAACATCTTGCGTGAGGTTATAGGTTTGAAAAAGGGTTACGCACTAGGCGATTGTCGTGCGTGTATGCTTGAGCCACTGCGAGAGACAGAGATGCCAGTATGTGCACTAGAACATTGGTGACAGTGCAGTTTTTCGAGATTCTAAATCAGTCTAAAACAGGCAGTCGTGCGCTCAAGTTTATTCGCCATCTACAACCGTCAAATAATTTAACAAGACATGGACAAGGAGAATCATAACCCGACATCAGAAGTGGGATCAGTGCCAACTCCTGCATTTTCTGAGGACCAGTGGCGTGCGATTGTGGAACTACAAAATCGAAATTTCGTCGAAATGTGCAAAGTCATGCAAGCGTCTGGGCGTCCACAAAATCCCGTGGTTTTGCCAAAATTTAATCCAGATTTAACTGGGACTGATGCGACTCAATGGTGTGCAACTGCAAGCATCATTATGGACGAACAGAAGATTGATGGCAGCGCACTTATCATGATGTTAAGTAGTTGTATGCAGGGTAGTGCTTCGGCCTGGCTTGCACAGGTCTGCTATCCAGGCATCAATTGGGAGCAGTTTTAAGAACTGTTTATACAGCGTTTCAAAATTAAAGAATCGTCGGCAGCTATGTTCTTAAATCTGCTCAATAGTCGTCCAGCCCACAACGAGTGCCTTGCAGTGTACGCAAGCCGTATGGTGACGTCATTGACCACAAAATGGCGAAATATGAGCACCGAAGAAATTGCTGTGTCATCGGTACTTGCGCATATGGCCAATTTTGACAACCGTTTGCAGCGCATGGTGTTTTCGTCAAATGTACAAACAAGAAGTCAACTACAAATGGAACTGAAAGCATTTAGGTACATTTGATAAAAAGCGGAATGCTGGATGTCCTGATGGTAATAGCGGTGACTGCAAACGAGCTAAAATTGTGTGTCACTTATGCAAGGAAACAGGACATAAAATGGCGGAGTGTAAATTCAAACGGTCTGGATCGGAAGACAAACAGCGTCGTGACTTGCAGAATGTAACCTGTTACCGGTGTGGACAACTTGGGCATCTTGCGAATCGGTGCACAAACAATGCCAATAAATCTGGAGCAGTTAGTGAGAAGAAATAAAATCAATGTCTTGTGCCTGAACCAAAAGGACTTTTGTCATACCAAGGTGAGATCTTTCCGATTTGTTTTGACTCTGGAACGGAATGTTCATTAATTCGAAGAAGCGTTGCCGATAAACCAGCTTTTTTATAATGTTGTCGTAATACGAGGTAATGGTGGTCCTCATATAATAAAGTATTTTAGTAAAACTACTTCCCTTCAGAGCCTAGATACCATTCATATCAAAAGGAAACCTTGGCAGGAGTACATCAGTTAAACAGTTCCGCCCTTATTTGGTTGGTCGTGAGTTTGTGGTTTATACTGATTGTGATTCTCTTAAATCATCTATTTCTTTGTTTAGCATACCGCACCCTATAATAGCTGATCAGGGTAGATGTTTTACTAGTGAGAAATTTTCAGAATTTCGTACATCACAAAATGTTAAACTTCATCTTATAGCGACAGGAAGAAGCCGTGCGAACGGGCAAGTTGAACGTGTGATGAGCACACTTAAAAATTTATTGTCAGCAGTTGAGTCAAGTCATCGATCTTGGCAAGATGCTCTAGGTGAGGTACAACTTGCTTTGAATTGCACAGTTAGTAGTACAACCAACGCAAGTCCCATAGAGTTGCTCGTCAGCAAAGAGACTTGATTTCACCGTATGATACAGAGATGGAAATAGATAAAGTAAATGCTTGAGATAGGGCAATAGTAAGTATGAACAACCGAGCCAGTTACGACAAAATTAGATTCGACAAAAATAAAGCAGCAGTTGAACGACATAAAATTGGAGATTTTGTTTTACTGAAAAATGAAGAACGTCATCAAACTAAATTGGATTCAAAGTTTAAAGTACTATTTTGGTTAGTGAAGTACTAGAAGGAGATATATATGTCTTAAAGTCATTGCATAATAAGAGAACCTACAAATATTGTCATGAAGATTTGAGAAAGATGCCAGATGGTTATGTTCCGAGTGAATTGGAGTACCCGCCTGAGACTTGTTGAAATTGTTATAATATATCCGTGTGAGAGGATATGTTATGTGAAGATATC